TGAATACAATATGAATATATATATATATACCAAGTGTGTATACTTTTTCTTTGCATAATATATATATATATGCGTGTGTGTGTGCGTGCATATATATATATATACATGTATATAATATTTAAATATGTATGTATGTATAAACATATATATATATATATATATATATATATAGTGTGTGTGTGTGTGTGTAGTAGTATATATATATATATATATATATATATATATATATATATATATATATATATATATATATATATATATATATATATATATATATATATATAAGTATGTATATATATATATTATATATAATATATACATACTTATATATATATATATGTTATATATCTATATCTATATCTGTATATAGGTGTGTATGTGTGTGTGTATGTGTGTATGTGACACACACATGTGTGTGTGTATGTATGTGTGTATGTGTATGTGTGTTTGCACACGTGTGCGTGTGTGTGTGTTTACACGTGTGCGTGTGTGTTTGTGTACACGTGTGTGGGGGAGGTGGGGGCGGGGAGAGATTATTAAAAACCAAATTCATCTCAAACAATTCACCTCAAACTGCTCCGCTTAAGCTTGGTCTTACACTTTTATTCCTTCATAAATACTCTTCAAGTCTCACCTGAGTGGAGTTCATGACATTTTGGTACGCATACGTATACCTGGTATTTCCTCCTTTTTATGTTAAAAATGAAAGAGGTGATTATGGACTATTTACGTATGTTTGTTATTAGTATTTACTTTATTTGTACATAGGTATTGATTGTATTCCATTCGCTCTAGCTTTTTGACTTTTTCTTATCCATTCTTATCCGTGTTGGCCTTTTTAATTTTTTTTGGCGGGGATGGGGCCCTGGGGGGGGGGGGTGTTCACCGGGCCAGTACGTAGCGAGAACGGGGCTACATACGGCCAATATACGGGCTATCAGCTCTGAAGTCTGAGGCTCTGACCTGTGAGCCCATGACTAATCTGTCTTCAGCTCTGAAGTCTGACCTATGAGCCCATGACTAATACGTCTTCAGTCAATGACGCCTACATTTACACGAAAGCTCCACACGCGCTGTTCTATGCATTTTCTGTGGCTTTTACTTTGCTACTATTAATACTATTGGTTAAATCCCTGCATGGTTACAGTCCGTCTGTTCATATAAACGTGTGTATTTAATAACAACATATGTATGCACATAGGACGCACATATAGCCACAGCTGCATTTACACTTGCAGATACGCCTTAGTCTAGTTACACTAACGTTACTAACGTTACTAACGTTATAAAACACGCAGACGGGACCAGCAAGAAGATTAATACAAACACTATGTTTAGCATGAGCTCGTTGTGGACCTTTCTGTTATTGACAGTGGTCAGTGTCATTGCTGTGCGACTCGATGGGACGTCAATATCGGGACAGATGGAGAAAACAGGTACTTCGTAGTATCGTGCTGCATTCATATGCACATACATATACACATACACATACACATACATATACACATACACATACACATACATGTACATACACATACACATACACATACACATACACATACACATACACATACACATACACATACACATACACATACACATACACATACACATACACATACACATATACATACACATACACATGTATATACTCATACACATACACATACACATACACATACACATACACATACACATACACATACACATACACATATACGTACACACTGCAACAGAGTTCAATAAGTGTAGATGTAATGTATGTTTTTGTTTGTCTCCACTATAAAATTTGCTGTCCATGTGGTATCTCCTTGGTAAGAAGGCATTTTAACCTCTGTCACACGCTTGGCAGAAGCTATCTACACTGCACATACGCCGATATGCTCACGTTTATAATCTATGTTCAGAACTAGGCGTACTCGATTAATCTGCAAGAGGACAATGAACCGATAATGTCACATCACGTATTCGCTGTTGTACTTATCGTTTGTGTCTTGTGCGGAGTACTACACCCATCCTACTGTGTGAATAAAATGCTGTCAGAATTCAATAGATGTGGTGTGTTATACACCGCAAACCTGCACCCACTTGCGCATTGCCATCGTGTTTGAATCACTTACAATATTGTATTCATTTCTGCGAACATTTGATAACAGTTGCTATGTAACTTGCTTAATTCTCATCGGCTGTTTCGATAGTTCCAGGGTCTTGACAATGTACATTAACAGCATGTGTGCCACTGTGCGTACAATATGACGTTTGTTGATACGTTGTCTACAATGACAAGCACTGAATAGTAGGACACTTATGGGTACATATGCTCGGTTGCACGTTTACAAGTTGTCATAGATTACCTATTCTAAAGGGGAAAAACACACGAAGGTTCTACTTAATTGAACTGGCTCTTCATACTTTCGTGTGTGTGTTCTATACAGAAGTATATCTCGCAGTCTAATCGCTTGTATATTTTTACGGTTTTTATACAGCAAGCGTCGCCAGCATAAGGGTTAGATACGGTGTGATAGTGGACTGTGGCTCAACGGGCACTCGATTCAAAGTCTACCGATGGAATTTACCTCACGATGTATGCCTCCGGAAAATTAATGGTTGTCTGTATCGTAGATGAGACTGATGTTCAATTCTATAATTCAATTATAATGTATGCACTGAGTTTTCTATGTGAGTGCGCTTTATGTTATAATATTATA